AAAACACTCTGCATCTTTTTGTTGGCTCTCAGCTCAAAGGCAAAAGCTTGTTTTTGTTGCAGTAGGTGATGGTCGTGCTTCTGCTGAGAAGAAGCAGGGGTTGTGGGGAGCAGATCTGGTTCAGGGAACAGCAGGACACCGATCACTCTGAGCGTTTGTCTGAGATAGTGTGTTGTCGGGATCTGCTGCATGGGACATTGCTGTCCTGTCCTTGTGCTGTGTATTCAAGTGGAGTTTCAAACTGTTATCTGTGTATTTTGGTTCGATTTCAAGTTCAGCAGTGGAATAGATCGCACTTTATTTGAGGAACTCCTGAAACTGAATGTTTTCGAGGAGGACTTTGAAGGAGTCTTTCTAAAAGAGTATGAGTTTAGACTTTATTAACTATGTTTGGATTTTTTCCCTGAAGACTAATAGATGAGTTTTGAGATGCCGGGTTCCTCATGTGTTATAATGTATGTAGTGTCTTCATGAATGGCTCATTATGAGCCCGTGTTCCAGTGCTCTGGACTGCTGCCTGCCATGTGATTCACTGCAAGCTCAACTGTTCTACTTTGTCTCTTTGATGTTCAAAAAGGAATGCACTTTTTTTCTTTCTCCCTACCCGGTTTGATTTGATCAAGTTTGAGATTCTTTGTTCCTTTAGTTTGTATCCTAACATCAGAGAATAAGTTTTTTTTTTCAAGCTCGTGGTCAAAACAAACCACATTTGAAAATGCAGCCTTCTAATGGAGTTAATTGAAGAACCGTCATTGTTCAAAGAAGCAGATTGACATGAAAAAAAAAAAATCATTTGGATCCATTAACACTTCTGGAACATCTGCATTCTTCTGCCAATTTGAACAGTGTAGCGTAATAAAATATATTTGCCATTGACTTAAGTGATGGATAACATTAAAGTTTTTGGAGAATGCACGTCTTTAACACGTCTTGACTCGTGATGAGTATTTGTTCATCACATGTTATGCAACACAGTTATATGAAACTTAACTATAGTTTATGGGCTGTAATATGCTTTGTGTCAATGTCCTATTCCTCCTGTCTGCAAACATTTGAAAATGCAGCCTTCTAATGGAGTTAATTGAAGAACCGTCATTGTTCAAAGAAGCAGATTGACATGAAAAAAAAAAAAATCATTTGGATCCATTAACACTTCTGGAACATCTGCATTCTTCTGCCAATTTGAACAGTGTAGCGTAATAAAATATATTTGCCATTGACTTAAGTGATGGATAACATTAAAGTTTTTGGAGAATGCACGTCTTTAACACGTCTTGACTCGTGATGAGTATTTGTTCATCACATGTTATGCAACACAGTTATATGAAACTTAACTATAGTTTATGGGCTGTAATATGCTTTGTGTCAATGTCCTATTCCTCCTGTCTGCAATAATAACCAGCTGACTGTACATTATTCCGCTTATAACTTGGCTACTCGCCAAATAAAAAAATGAATTCGATTTCAATTAGATTTTTTTTTTCTAATTTAGGGTCATGTGCAAAGTTTCGACACATACTGTAGATGTGTTTTAAAAGGCTGTACAAATTTAGGTGACTACAGTTGTGTTGGGGTCAAATTGACCCCAACTGGTTTCCACGCAATTCGCCAAAAATCAACACTTTGAAAAACAGCAAAGAGTCAGAAAAAACCCCCCAAATCAAACAAAAAACCTTTATTGCTGTCAAAGACTAAAATATCAAATACATGAGAATTTATTAAATTTAATACTCAAAAGTTTGCTCGAAATTGACTTAATCATTCAAGGAGAATTTTCTGTATCTTCAACATTTTGAGATTCACAGTCCATAAATGAGGTAAAAGGATGTGTTTTGTTGTGTGGTTTTTTTTGTTTGTTTTTTGCGCATTTTGGGTACTAGTCAGCACTAGTATGTTGCAGCACTGAAAGTAAGTGTTCCAAATTTTAAAAACCCATTTTACCCACAAAAGGGTTTGAGAACCAGACGTAAAAAGGCTACATCACAACAGGGTCAGGAATAAAACAAGATTGCAGTGATTTTTACACACTTTATTTTCTCTCCCCGACACAATGCCTTAAATTTCCCCTTTTAAAACAACACATTTTCAGCATGACTGTCCAAATTAATTCAATTTAGTGATGACATTACCTTGAAATCCTCATTGTAGAACATCGTCGTTACCTAGCTGTTGCTAATATCTAATTTTACAGAGGGAAAAGTCACAAGGAACAGCCCTGGTCGAATATTATGTCAGAATTCAATAAATGACCGTTTTGGACACAACAACAGAGTCGACAACGAGAGTCGATTCCTGTGCTGGAGGCGACTCCGAATCTAGGGCTATTCAGAGTTGAGTCAAGGAATCAACTCTTTTGGAGTCGACTCCCCAACACTACTCTTCGTAGTGTTTTTCATAGTGTTGAATAAGATCTACTTAACTAACATGATATTATCCAAATTAATGACTTTTTATTGGATAAAATTCACACTAAATTCTTAATTTTTGTAAATTGTTCCATAATGTTGTTTTGAATTGAATCATGACCAAATTTCAGATTTTGCAATGCAATCATAGAGTAAATAATCCAAATTATCCAATCAAATTTCTATACTGTCACATTACATTGTAAATTGACTTGGTTAAAACCAATTATTAATCAGATTTTACCAAAAATAAGCATATTATTTAAGTTACTTGAAAGAAACCTGGGGAAATTACCATTCTTTTCAAATAAAATACTTGGAAGATGCACTTGGTAAAACATCAGATTTTCTATTCAAAGCCACAGAAAGTTTGAGTTGACCAACCACAAAAATTCAGCGCAAGAACAAATCTGATGTAAATGTCTCCTAAGAAATGTATCTGTTCAGGATCAGTTGAAACCAAAATTATACAGGACTTCCTTCGGACGGATTAGACAACTAATCTTCCAGGCAACCCAAAGACTAGTCGATTTGAAAATTTGTAGGTGTTTGGGAGCATGTCTCATGTTCTATCGACTGTGCACAAGAACGAACAGTCAACTTTCAAGCATGCAATTCACTATTTCCTGCTAATAAAGGTTTTTGTAAACACAGCTTTGTGGTTTTTTACCACTTCTGTGTGTTTGCAGCATAAAGGTGCTTCACAGTCAAATTATATCCCAGATTTGAGTTTTGGAGAGCTAACCAAGTTTTTAGATACAATAAATGTAAAAACCTGAAACTGTATATTCCAAGTCTTGAATTGATAACTGTTCTTTTAAATTCAGGTTCTTAAAATTACAAGCCGTAATAAATAAATAAATACAAATTTAGCATGCCATAACCAATATTGTGACTAAATTACTCTTCAGTACTTTTGACCTGATGTCAGATCACTTCCCTCCATTACGTCAAAATCCTGGGAATGTTCACTTCAAAGTTAATTTGGTGCTATATTAGATTGATGTCACATAGTTTGGGAATTTGTTTGGTGTCACACTGACTGACCTTACTGAATGTTTTGCTCTTATGCCACAAAATGAGGGAAAAAGATAGGAACTCTATTAAGTAACTTCAGCGAAAACTGGGTGTGCATTTATAGTTTTTGAAAATGGAGCACTTTTGCATTTTAGTTGCTCATAATTTTAAGAAAAACCATCCACCTGTGACACAGTGACAGAAATCTAGGACACAGTTTATTTCTTCTTTTTTTTTTTTTCTTTCAGAAATGGGAGATTGTTTGCCATTGTGATGCACATTGTTTGCCATGCACCAAATGTTTCCTGACCATATACTTTCATTTTAGCAGTGCATTTATGTACTTGGCAGATGCTTTCTCACTGACTGATTGACAAGAAAATGTTAATGGTGTATGTGTGTATCAGACTAAACCATGTGCCAGACGTTTCTAGCCTTTCACCAGTACTGGAGCACAGGCCCCCATCAAAAAGTTTCCCTATATATATATATATATATATATATATATAGCTTTGCAGTGCAGAGTCAAGCTGCTTTGTTGCTGACAAATGATGAAAGACATTTCTAGGTTTTGCTTCCTTTTTAGTTTCCATTTTAGGTAAATATATTTTTGTTTTTTGTCTTACAAAGTAATCCATTAGTGTTTAGGTGACAGATCACTAAAAAAAATATATGAAAAGAAATCGAGGACTGAAATGTCTGAATAAATCTGAACTGAAAAAAACAAAACAAATCTAAAATCTGAACTGAAAAACTGCAAACAAATTCTGACTTTTTTGTTAATCCATTTGTCAGATTAGATCAAGAGTGATTCTGGCATCATCAGTTCTCTAAACAGCGAACAGACACAAAGTAATTGCTGAAATGTTATCAGTAATCAGTTGTACGGTAATCTTCATTTTCAGACAAGGATTTATCAGTCATATTCTACTGGGGCACAGCAATATTTCCCAGTAAAAAGGCTCTGTCGGCACCCCCGGACTGAGCCTCAGAACAGTAATACTGAATTGCCAGTGCAGTCACAGTGTGCGCTACTCAAGTCTGCCAGTCGTGTATTAAGGTAAAACCACAAACTATAAAACAGGAACTGCAGAAACAGCTGAAGTGGCGTGTTGTTTCACAGGCTTACATGTTGACTTTCTCATCACACACATGAAGTGATGTTCAGTCCTTTCAGTCTCGTGAATCATCCAAATGGACTCATTCCAGTCTGAGTCACATCAGTTTATCACTGACCCTGGATCAGACAAAAGGACAGCCTTGTGTAGTTATGTCTATGGTTTTGCCTTCAGGAGAGCAAACTGCTCAGCTCTCATTGGTCTGTAGACCACTGACTAAAACAAGGCTGGACCAGTTGTCAAAAAACGTGTAAAACAAGTAGTTTCATTGTTCTTTGGAATGTTATGGAACATTATGACTGCTAGACTCCTAATTATATGCTGCTAATGCTGACTAATGTTTTATGTGTATCTTGTTCTTTTGTTTCATTTCATTCTCATTTGTATTATTTTGCTCAGTGTTTTGTTGCATCATCCATTCTTCGCATGAGTTGTCCTTTAAGTTGCGTTTTGATTACAGCTCAAGCTACAGTGGAAGACTTCCAGATCCGACCCCATGCGCTTTACGTCCACTCCTACAAAGCGCCCACCTTCTGCGACTACTGCGGAGAGATGCTGTGGGGACTCGTCCGACAGGGCCTCAAATGTGAAGGTAGCAGCCGTATAAAAACATGCATTGTATTTTAAAGAAACATTTGCTCACTTCTTCCCCATTATTATAGCATATGAAGATTTTAGTATTATTTTTGTGGGTAGGATGATGGTGTTATGACTATTTTCAAGAAAACTAATATCTCAATCAAGTGAGTCTACCACACTCTAAAAAAAAAAAAAAAGGTTCTTAAGCGGTTCTTTGGAGGGGTTAAGGTTAAATTGCACCGTTTAATGGGTAAATGAATTTATCAGAGACAGAAATTCAACAAACACAAACACACATACTGTTAGGCTTTTATTTGTGCAAGTAACTTGAATCGATCTGTGGAATATGTGGTAGATGCCTTGTCCTACCGAGCATCTTTCACAGGCTTTTGGCTGCAATATTTTTTATTAACCACCAGAAGGCACTGTTTTCGAGACACTCAAAGCTTTGAATCTTTTCCTGAAACAGTCAGAGGAAAGCCTCAGTGCTTCACCAGGCTTCATTTGCCAATCCCTACCCCCTACACAGGGACAGATTAGGGCCTTTCGCACCGCTTTAGTTCCAGAACTAAATGTACAGTACTAAAGTACTGGGACGATTTTGCGGGAACTATTTCCCAGTACCATTTAAAGGGTTGCATTTGCACCGACAGTGTGTACTAAGAAGTGACGTAAGCCGGTCGACAGCGACGTCATTTGTGCGCGGCGTTCAACAACAGAAACACAGAAGAACAACATTAACAACAGGAGGATGGAGGACGCTATTTTTACCGTCAACTACAGACGTTGCATCCATTGATTCCGCCATGTTTCTCATTGACACGCCCCCAACTCGGAAACTCGGGGCTTAAAGAAAATTTAGAGTTTCCCACTCGTAAGCCCCTGTATAGTTCTTTAAAGGTTCTTTAACTCTCCCTTAGTCTCTTAGTTTAGTTGGGGAAAGGGTTAAAACAACATTAGGGCCTTTCGCACCGCTTTAGTTCCAGAACTAAATGTACAGTACTATTGAAATACAGTCTATTTCTTGAAGATATAAGTTTTTTTTGCCCCCAAGGCCCCCATAAAGAAATATTCCAGAGCCCCCACATGAGACCTTTGACTTCAGAAAAAAAGGACCTCTCCACAAACAGCAACACCAACTTCACACATTACTAACCAGTTAGACTTTATTTCTGGAGTATCTAAAACAGAAGTTCTTTATTGAGAATTAAGGTTTAGATGTTTTTTTTTTCTTTTCAACTTACCGTTTTGGTGAATAGTGTTTGCTTTAGTTGCCTCTTGACCCTTGACTTTAATTTTAAGTTAAAATAAGTTTCTCTTTGGCTGTTACAATAGTGTTTATAAAGCACATGTGTGATGGCAAGGAACTTATGGTAAAATCATTTCATGCGTACGAGTCTCTGGTTGCATTTTATCAAAATCTGTAGTTCTTTTATGAGTTTTATATTATTGCAGTTCTACGATACTACGTGACAATGTGAGAAAATTGTATAAACCACTTTTAGAATTATGGGTTATAAAGAGGTTTCAATTCTGTCACTCATAGACATGAAGAATCAGCATGTGAATCTCAGCAATGGTGACAAAATATTCAGATAATTTTGATATGATTTTTGAACATCACAAAACAGGGCAGTAAAAAGTCACAACAAAATTAAAAGCAAATAGTAAGAATAAAAAAAAATACTAAGACAATGCAGCTGCATAATTTATTCACGTCGCAATGCATGCTGGGAGCCATGGATGAGTTATGATTGGTGCACCATTGTTGAGAAAAAGTGCTATATGGCACCTCTTATGATTCTACATGGCACCATTTGACAAAGGTGCTATATATCACCTGTAAAAATAGGTGCTAAATAGCACTAAAAGTGGTTCCCCTATGATTACAAGCCAAAGAACCGCTTTTAGTGCTATATAGCACCATTTTTGTCAACAGTACACTTTTCTGTTTTTCTGTCAGCTGTGCATGAGAATCTTCACAATCTCAACAATTGTGATTGCTGGGTGTATATGTTCATGCCCCTTTTTGTGCATTAAAAAGTTTGCATTATTTTTAATATTTATAACATACTATAATGTCTTATTTTGTTAATTCACTTGCTTTGGCAAAATTAAGTAAGCAAGTAAGCAAATAAATACCAGTTTGATTCTAGTATGTATCAGGACCACGAGTTACATAACAGTTAAAAAGATACATGCATAATATAAAACATTTAAACTACCAGTCAAAAGTTTGGAATAATTCAGTTTTTTATTTTCTTTTTTAGTAACTGAGTATCAATAGGAATTAAGCACCAAATCCTGCATTAATCATATCAGAATGATTTCTGCAATCATAGAATTAAATGAATTTTGAAAATATAATACAATGAAAATATTATAATAACATTTCACAATATTACTGTTTTCACTTTATTTTTTATCAAATACATGCAGCATTAGTGAGAATAAAAGACTTGTTAAGTACAGTATGGTCCTTATTATCAGTGTTGAAAACAGATTTTCCTGCTTAATATGTTTGTGGAAATCATGAAACTTTTTTTTTTCAGGATTCTATGATGAATTGAAAGGTCAAAAGAACCGCATTTACATGAAATCGAAATCTTTTGTAACATTATAAATGACTTTGCTGTCACTTTCGATCAATTTAATGCATCCTTTTTGAATAAAAACATTATTTTTTTATCTTAGCCCAAACTTTTGAATGATAATGTAACATGGTTTCCACAAAAATATTGAGCATTAAGTATTTTTTTCAACATTGATAATAATAAGAATGTTTCTTGAGCAGCAAATCGTCATTGACATCTGAATCATGCGACACTAGGTGCGTTTCCATTACAGATTTGCGCAAAACTTTGGCGATATTTTATAAACGTCGATAAAAAAGTATTGTGAAATGACGGCGTTTCCATTGACCAATGTTATGCGACTAAAACGTAACCTTTTGCCTCTCGCGATAAGTCATGGCAACGGATTTTGGTGGGATTTTGACGGATTTTGACTATATTTATTCAAAGGAGGCGTATGCGTGTATCTTTACAGAAGCAAAAGAGAGCCGCTTCAGAAACGTGCGTGGCGCGGCTGGAATAAACCATAG